ACAGTGTGCCAAGGAAGGCTTCTGGGACAAGGGGAAGCTCCCAGGCCCACTTTGAAGCTGGACAGACCTCAATGACTCACTGGGCCAAGAGCTGGCAGAGAGGGGTAAGGAAACATGATTTCAGGCAGTGGACAACTCAGACAAGAAAGCACCAAGAGGGATGTCCAGTAGCAAGGCTGGTGCAGCCATGAGGCTGGAACACAGTCACACTGGGCTTTGGGTTCAAAGCCAAGAGCCTGAGCTCTACCCTGCACGCCAGTGTGTGTGGGGGGTGGGGTGGGGGGAGGCGGGGCGGGCAGCCAGGGGATCATCACACTAAGGTCTGAAACAATGTTGGTGCTAGGTGCCAATCACTGAAATTGAATCCCACTGAGAATCAACCTCAGTTGGATGGGATTTTCCATTAGATAAGAGAAGGATGCAATTCAGATCTGAAAATGTTCTACAGCCTTTCTGAAAGATGGACACAGAATCAAGACAAAGTAGATTTCATGATTTTCAATATAATCATAGGGTTTTTTTCCCCTTTCTATCTGTACAAGACACTGAATATCATTGTAAATAGATCTTATTTGCATAGAAAATAACAAACTTTATTATTTATATTCATTACCTAAACCCTATAAAGTGGCTTCTATTTTGGCTAATTAGACTTTTGATTACATTTTTATTTTTTTCTCCAAATTATTGGTTTTAGACTCTGGGATCCATTTCTCTGTACACAATGACCAGAAGCACTGTCTAATTTTGAGTTAAACCAATGGAGCTAGACCTTCTGAATTATAATCCTGTGGACATAAGTAAGGTTTTTGTTTTTGCTGGGGGTTTTTTTGGTTTCTGCTAACTATTCCTAAGCACCCCTAACACTGTCTGCTAGGAATCCTATCGATCCACTGACAATGTCACTCTCTCATATTCATTGACTTGCTGAATACTTACTCTGCTGAGAGGAGACTGAGAGGATAAAAGGTTAGAGCCCTATTTTTTAAGACACTCTGTGTCTGGATATCAGATCAATAGCTAGTGCAAACAGAGGTTGGTACAAAGTTCTTGTTGAAGCAGAGACTGACAAGGCCCTCTCTCTGCCTAGGGGGAGGAAGCGGGGCAAGCTGAGAGGTGAGGAGGATGTTACAATGGAAAATGGGGTCACTGTGTCTAAGCTTCTTAGCGGAACGTGTGCGACCCTTCATTATGTGCTCCCCGCCGCCCAGACAGCACATCTGTTGCTTTCTCTGATTACCTAATATAGCTGCCGTCTCCCAGATAATCGTACTTTCTTATCATTCCGTGCATTTACATTAAGCAACAAACGAGCAAATACCTGCATCAGTGCTGCAAGTGTTTCTAATTCTTCCACAGTAATACCGAGGTAGCTGGCATTTCTGTGCCATTTTATGGGTGGGACACTGCCATCTCGACTGTAGTTCCGAGGTCGGGTAATTAAGCAAGGTCATCAAGCTGGTAAATGACAGAGCTGGGATATGAATGCTTCCCAGAATACCTTCCCCTCTGTGCTCAGGTTATCTCCTACTGGCACTTACACCCCTGCTGGCACCTGTCTGGCAGATAGGTCTCTCTTCCACGTGCCTGCACCTGTGCTACGGACTCTTTCCTTGCCCATCTCCCCAGCAGGCTGTCGCGTCTTCAAGGACAGGACAGGACTATGTCATTGGCACTGAACTTCCAGGATCTGTAGCACAACGTATCTGCGTGGACACTGATATTGATTCAAGCCAGACGTCCTGATCAGAAGATGATTCAGAACCTAAATAATGTCAAAGAACTTCTCCTGAAGGAATCTGGTACGGGGGTGGAAGAGACAGGGAAGGGACTACTGGACAACAGCTGTGTGCTGATGACGCTGAGGGCTCTGGGAGTTACAGGAAACATGTAGACCAGCCCCTGTGCTCAAAGAGATGGTGGGGGAGTCAGTGCTAATCCAGAACTCAGCCAACAACAGAGACTCTGGATTAAAGTTTAAAACTGGCTCTACCAGTTGCTGGGTGTGAGTTTTTTACCTAAATGATTTCACATTTTGAAGCTGAAGTGTCTTCCTCTGTAAAATGGAGGCCACACTTACCTTCTTGTAGTTGTGAGGATTCAGTGAAATCATTTACTGAGAGTGACAAGCTTATGCTTGGTCGTAATGGCAACGTGTGACCAACCTACGTCACTAAAATGAGTATAAACTCAGCATGCTACTTCAGAGAGGGCACTGGGCCAAGTCCTGAGGAGTGGGCACGATTTCTGTGGGTGGAGGAATAGGGGCGAGCCCGCTTCCTTTCCATCCTGAATTACCGCAGCCTGAGGAAGGCCCACGTCTTAAAAGATCTTTACATTCCCGGTGCCTCTTCTGTGTCTAGTACAGAACTCAAGCTCAGTACATACTGTAAAATGAGGAGAGAAACTAATCCCAGGAGGGTAGACGAAGGTTAGGGGAAAGATCTGGGAAGGGTGCAACGTGCTCTGAGGGGTGGGGAAGACCGCGTGTCTACAGCAGAGTCTTCATGTGGAAACCGGAAGCAATAAGGCTCGGCAGACTATGTGCTCAAAATGGGAAGCCCTTGGAAGCCAAGCAGGAGGATTCTTGTCCAAAAGTATTTCTGCGGCTTCCTGACCTTTCTGGCTCACGATCCCTTTTTATAGTCCAATGGGGCTATGGGTTCTCTATAAAATGAAAATAAACATAACACTGAACAATAATGCCTATGAATTAGCTCTGAAGACCATCTGGGGGTTTACCCTCTAGGGACCTATTTATAATCTCTCACTTAAGAAACCTACATTATTATTCAATATGCTAATCCCCCTCCAAAATTACTTACTAAGGAGGAAAGAGTGAAAAATTCCAATATTAAAACCACACATTGAAAAAATGCATGATGTGTCACATTCTCTTTCTATGCAAGAAAAGTCCCCCTGCCCCACCCCCCAAAAACCCCTCAAAACCAAAACTCTTATGTTGGTCCATGAGAATAAAGAGACCTATTCTCTTCCCAACAGTTAAGGTAATTATTTCAGGTGAATTTTGGCTATTGGAGGGGAAAAAGGCTCAGCTATTTCCCATACACATTAAATACGGGCATTCAACTTGACAATTAAACTTCACATTTACTGTAATACTTTTTAGGTTACAAAACACTCAAAATATTAGCTCAAAACACCATAGTATTAGCTCACTCAATTCTTAGTAACAACTACATGCATTAAGCATCATTCTCCTTGTGCTGATGTCCAAAGGCACATAGTCAGGGGCAGAGCTCAAATACAACTACTTTTAAAAAAGCAAGACACTCTGTGATGTCATGGCCTAAGTAGTGTTTCTGATGGTTCAGAAAAACAAAACAAAACAAGACAAAAAACAAGAATACCCTGAAACCAAACTAATGATACATTTTCCTTATAGATCCCTAACTTTAAAAAAAAAAATACGAAATAATTTTATAAAACAACTGTTATGTTACTTGTCTTTTACAAGTAATAACTTATTTTGCAAAATTCAAAAAGGACAGAAAAGTACACACACAAAGTCATACTTTCACAAGCCTAAGATAATTATTGTCAAAAATCTGGTGCATACCAGTATAAATTTTTACCTTCAAATATATAGCAAGTACACACAGTTTTTAAAAAAAATAAAATTGGGGTCATATTATACGTTAGGCTTGATAAACTGCTTTTTTGCCTTAATAGTTTGGACATTTTTTCATGTTACTGCCTGGGCTTCGATTTCTTATTGAAGAAAGCAACCCAAGTATTAACTGCTGTGACGATTTATGCCTCTGCCCTCTGTGGCACCAGCAAGGCTGGCTGGGTCTGACTTGTTTATATTCAGGGAGCTTCTGTTCTGACTGGAGGAGTTAATTTGCCGTAATCACCAGTGCTGGTAATAGGAACCAGCGTGGGATATTTTCCATGGGACTTTAGATAAGCATGAAATTGTCTTCATCTTCCATAACACATCACAATAATTGGAACAAAAGGCACTCACCTTTGTTTGCTCCTTGGGCACAACCAGTTCCTCTGACTTCCCAAGATGGCGGACATTTCCTAACAAAAGAAAAGACCTTTTTACTCAAAGAGAAGGAAATCTCTTAAGAAACAAAAATTAAACATTTTACATCATCTACAATTAAAAAAACAAAAACAAAAACAACAAAAAAAACTTAAGCCAAATGATTAAAGAATAACTTTATTAAATATTTGTCAGTTTTAAGAAGTGCCCTCAATTACTAACCAAAGAATGTATTACAAACAACTAGTTATGAGGTTTTACATTTGTTTAATAGGGAATAATTGGCCCCAATTAAACTGACTGAACTAAGGCTTTTTAGATTACTAAAACAAATTAAACTTTTTAAAATGAGAATTTAGGTGATCTTAAAACCTCTCTAAAATGGATAATGAAACTTGCCAAGTTGTAATCTCCCTGGTTTTATTAGTTATATTAAGATAAATTAAGTGAGATTAAAATCTTATTTGATTTATTTACCTTTGACAATGAAGACCGTTTAAGGGTTACACATCCTCAGCCTTGGCGAGTGCGACCTCAATTAGTCAAGTCAGATTGTCTTTAAAAGCTTTGTGCTTATTGCTTCCAGCATGGAGCGAGGTGTTCATTAAGGTACCAAAATTCTCATAAAAAATCCAAAGTTGCACTAGTGAAAAAACGCTCAACAAGATGAAAACTGATCACATCTTTTTCAGAAAATCAGTAGTTATTTTAAAACCAGTTTTTAAACAAGATTTGGTTTTGCGTCGTTTTAACTTGCTACTCACGCAGCTTAACACCATGTGGACTCTTTAAACAGCATTTAAATCTACGGTGAGTATAGAATGGTACATTTAATTTTATACCATTTTTTAAGTCAGTTGTACAATGTTTAGTGTGACCCTTTTATGACAAGCGTTGTTAAATGAACTCTTTCCCTGTTTACAACTATTTATGAAGGCCTTTTTAAATAAGAGAAACATGAAATTGTTAGCTCACACACACGGAATTTCTTTCAAAAGTTTATTTAGTATCAAGCAAGAGGAGACTTTGCTCAACACTACAGAACATTTCAAGACTTGAGTTACAAAAGAATACCACATTATTTGCACTTGTAATTGGCTTCCCTTTTTACGCATGTTGGCAAGAGAAAAAAACTAGCATATGGCTGAAAGATAAAATAACTAATTGCTATGGAAACCTTTAAAATGAAAGGTGAGGCTTATGTTAAAAGGATGGATTAACATATTTAGTAAACCTAGTTTTTTGTTTAACACTAGTTAATCAAAGTTATTTTTTTCCTTTTGATGACCTATTTTTTTCATATACATACTGGAAATAACAAAATTTTACATGTCTTTTTTTTTTTTTTTTCTGCCCAGGTTGATGTTTCCACAAAGTAGTTTTAAACTTCCATCCATTCAGATTTTAAGCATTTTGATTTATTTAAAAAGGGATTGTTCATAGAAAAACATTACTTTGAACAGTACACAGGACTGGTGGAGACTGGCTATTTCACAACACCAGACAGTACAATCAGTATCTGCCGTAGGGCTGGTCTCTGTAGACGCCCTTTGTGGTCCTCGCTGCAGGTGCCTTGTGTCTCGAGTTAGTCCAGTCCTCTTGCCCTAAAATCAGTAAGATATCGAATCACAATTAGATCATTGCCATGGATCCCGCTGCCTTCATTTTTCAGAATCTACCTTAACCCTGAACCAGTGGTAGACGTCATATTGAAGACAGATAGCCCTGAGGTACTAGGGGTAAAAAACAAAAGGGTAATTACTTAGAGAAAAATTACAAACACAATAGAAAATGGTCGCCCCACTAACAATACCTATCAGTACGGGAAAAAAAAATGATTTTTGTATCTTAAATGGCAACCGACTTTGCAAGAACTTTCCTTTTGGTCACTCATTTTTAACAAAAGTTCACACACTCAAACAGCAAACTGAACTGCCTTTTGCTAAACGTTAAGACATTTATGAATGGGAAAGAGAATGGGAAGAGGATCACTCAGACTTCTTTTGACAGCAAAAACAAAGACAACACAAAGATTTGTGCAGACAAAAGCAGACAAACGTGATGAGCACCGTGGGGGTGGGCAGGGTGGGAGGGAGTCCCAGGTCCTGCTGTGGACAGTGAATGGAAGTCGTGTTCAGAGGAAATGTAGCCTCAACAATACTTTCCGAATATGAAATAAACTTGAAGACAGAATGTCAAGTCTCACTCATCCTAATACTAAATCCATACCAGACAAGTGTACAAATAACAAAAGGCATTCCATCATCTCGATCTCCTGAAATTAAACACCTGTTCCATCCCAACACTCTCAGCGAGTCATCTACAAGTCTCCGACAACAAACAGTTAACATCTCTGCAGCAACATACAGCAATTTTAAAAGCCATGTGTCCACTGAGACCAATTTGAAAAGGCTGTGAAGAAAAAATGCTTAAAATGACCTCTTCTTTTGATACAAGCATGCAATCAACGTCATTCCCGCAAGCTAACGTGCATCCATTTAAGTAGACAGCATTCAGCAAACCAAGGTATTTCTCTTAAGTGTTTGTTACAAATAACAAAAAAAAAAAAAAAAAAAAAAAAAAAAAATCCAAGGTGAGGTCATCACGGCTTGGGGCAGGTGATATAACAAAATGCACTTCAAAAGGAGCACCGGAAAATGATTTTTCAGTTATGTTCAGAGAAATGTCAGAACATCCATTAATCAGAATCCTGATTCACTTGCACTGGGTACTGGAGGCATTTATCAGAGCTTTGCAACTGATTGAAGCTTCCTGTTCTCTGATCTCTTTGCCCTCCGGCAAAGGAGCTTCTTGCTATCATTATGTTGCTGCCGCCAATTCTTTTAATTAAACCTGTCCTCCTTCTGCATAGAGACTTTGGACCTGGATTCCCCAGCATCTCTACCAGCTCTCACTGAATTAAGTGGGGTTTAGCTGTCTCCCCATAAGCCAGAGAGAGCCTTATGGCCCCCCACCCCTGGCTCAGTGCTTTTGTAACCTTTACGGAGTGACTCCCACTGTAATGTTTTTCGAGGGTTTGGGATCAGAGATGAATTAAAATAGGAAGATGGGGGTGGGACAATCCTTTGGGAGCTGCAGTCTCCAGGGCTTCATTTTCCTTCACTGTCAACAAGCAAAGACACTTCAAAAAGACCCGAGCTATCAAGTGTCTGCAGTCTGGCAAAGGACTCTATAAATGAGAAAATCAGCACATGGCAATCAACCCAAACAGAAAATCTAAGTTGAGAATGTGAATGTAGGCAATTTTCTTTGAGTTTTTAGTCCTCTTTAAATATTAAATTTAAATCTTAAAGGAGCTGAAAATAGCTAGATATGCACAGATGAACTGAAAGGGAAGCTGCTGTTTCAGTCAAAATGTCTTTATGGATTTCTCCTCAGTTCCGGTCTTGAAGGTGTTTCTGGGACCACTCTGCCCGCTCTATTTCTGGTTCGTGTGGGCCAGTTACTCACCGTAGGAATCGTAGGTCTCTTCACTGAGTCCATGTCCATAATCATAGTAATCAGCACCACTGTATTGAACAAAAGACGCCAAAAAACAAACAAAAAAAAGGTGAAAACAGGATAAAATAACTTGACCGTGAGCTTAAATCATATTCAGTGAAGTATTCTAAAACCTAAAGATAACCAGTCAAGGGCAGGGCTACACACTGAAAGAAAGAATTCCCACTGAGATGGCAGAGACCTAGCACAGAAACTTCAGACCTCAGGAGTATCAAAGATTTCCAGCTGTAGTACCTGATAAATGTGCCTGGCACTTTAGCCACAGGCTTTGGCCAATGAGCACCACGTGACTGTCTGTGCTTAAGGGATACACAGCCTGTGTGTTCTGGAAGGGCAGGGTCTGCACACATGACAGGTGTGCCACGGACAGCACAGTGCTCCGGGCCTGGCCCCACGGCCCTGGAGAGCACGGAGAACCACAGGTCCAACGGAAAGAAGGCAAAAACGTTCCCTCCTCTTTCACTCCTGCCTACCAGAAAACCCGACGCTGCGCCATCTGTGGGCTTCGCAGCGCTTTGTAACCGGGACTGAGGTCCAATGTTCTGTTTCGCCAGCACCATGGCATTATTGTCAGGAAGTCGGTGTGATGACTGTGTTGCGAAGGACAGCAGGGTGACTCCGCGCCCTCCGGTCATGGCCCCCTTGCAACGTCCATGACGATGGAGGCGGACCATCTTTGCACAGCACAGGCACATCTATGTTCTAACATACAGCATCCCTGAGATGGGGGCGGGCGGAGGGAGCCTGTCATCAGGGCCATTCTGCAGATAATGCGAAACAGTCTACAAATACACAATGTATTTGAACCAGGCATAATTTTTATAGGAACAAACCTATGGAAAATCTAGATTACTAAGCCAGAGCAGATATAAGTAGTTTATGACGCTATTCTGGGTATCTAGGGAGGAGCTTCCACTCACCCTCTCAGGCTTTGCGCTTTCCCACTCTACTTAATTTTGTAGGGAAACAATCATCCTGAATTTGTTATCTTGGACTGTCATGGAAATAAACATTCTCATTATTCCAGCCTCATGCAATCAAGTAAGAAGTTCTAATCAAAATAGAAAATGATCCAGCTCAGCTGCTTAACACCTTAGGAAGTTGCAAGATAAATAATAAAATCTGTAGAGTGAGTGTTGCTGAGTGCCAGCTGCCAGGGTCCCACGGAGTCCCCACAGCAGCCCCTGAAGTGAGTGGGGCTGTCATACCCATTTTAGAGATAAGGATGCTGCTGCAGATCGGAAAGCCAGGATGCCAGCCAGAATCTCAGAGAACAGATAAGTGACACACTCGTCGATCAAACCCACACCTGGCTCTCTTCCCACGCGTCCCGTCAGGTAAGCGGCACCAGAGACTCAGCCACTCTTGACGGCTGCAGCATAGCAGAGCGATCCTAGGATGAAGCAGTAAGCAAGGGGAACAGCTTCCTTTTTGCCTCAAGCACGTGCGGGTGGCTCTTCACCTCTGCTCCTCCTTCGGCCAGAAATGTTCTTCGTTTTCCTTCCAATCTACGTGCTGCTCAGTCTGTAGCCCAAATGCTACCTCCTTGGAAAACCCTCCCAGTTTCCCAGGGGCTGGCTCCCCGAGACGGCACACCTTCCTTGTGCCCCCTGCCCCCCCGCACCATGCCCGGCCCCAGGACCTTCCTCTGGATGGACAGAGGCGGCGGCCTCACCAGCGGCTGCATCACACGGCTTCCCAGAGAACGTAATGGCAGAGCAGTTCTGAGCCACCCGCCAGGAGGGTGAAGCTGAGGAAGGGGTGCAGAGAAGGGACGGACAGGGAGACGGCGGCAGGGGCCTTCCAGGCAGAGCAAACTGCACACGTAAGGCACAGATGCACGAAAAAGCCTGAACAATCCAGGTGTCTACAAGTACCTCATCGCACGGAGTTAACAAGCACTGATAAAACGCCGGGGCTAGACTATTCCTCGGTATAAAATGCTTCCTCCACGTGCAAAATATAGGTCAGATCTTGTTATCCTGGTTTAATCACATCCTCACTAGTTAATTAAACACAGTGTAACATACTGGTTATGAAGGGAGCTCGCCGGAATAGGACATAAGCTCTCTGGAATGTGCCGTGTTAAGAAGCTCCACGGCTTTTTTAAATGTTGCCCAGGAAGAGAACAGTCACTCCTACAGCTGACCTATTACACCACGTGGCACCGTGCAGCTTTTCTGAGGAGGGGCACATGGCTGCAGAGTTTTATAAAATGGTCTTTCAGGCTGACAGCTGACACTCCTAGAGGACGTGGGAGGAAGGCAGGGAGAGGGAGGGCGGGCACGCTGCTCAGTGAGACCCCTTCACTGACCACGAATCCATGTGCAGGATTGCACTTGATCTTCCTAAAATCGCTGTCCTTGAAGACGGAGCAGCCGAGGCTCAGTGAGGCTGGGCCACCTGCCCGGAGTCACACAGCTCAGAAGGGACAGCGCCCACACCACGTGCTGAAGACCTCCACCAGTTGCAGACTGTGCTCACTGTGGGGCCACCTTACACTGGTGGGGGGTGGCGGGAGTTCCCTGTCCACTCTGACCTGCTCTGTCACTCTTCCAGAATGTCTGACTTGCCCCCTCTGGGGCATCTAGGATCCCTCCTCATGCTCGGAAATAGAAGGATTTACACACAACTCATTGCCCTGTGATCATGGTGAATTATCACTGCCTTCTCTGTCTGGTCTCAAATTCCCTCTCTCCCTTTCAGTAGCCCTCACTTTCTCTCGAGGCAACAAATTTATCTATGGTGAGAAGCAAATGGGAGGAACTAGCTAAAAAAGGATCAAAGAAACATTTATATTAAAAAACAAAAATCCAGCAACAACAAGCAATATAAGAAGTAATATTGCTTTCCTACCTCTTAAGGTTTTATAGCTTTAAATATGAGAATTGCCTTTAAAGTAGAGTATTTTCTTTTTTTTTTTTTTTTTTCCCATCTTGAGTACAGAAATTCAGAGATTAACCCCTTGATGAAATGTCAGTGTCAAATACTGGTCAAGACACTGGAGTCTGAACTGGGACCCCCACCTGCCGGGCTCCCTAGGAGATCCGTCCCACCCGCTGCCTTCGTGCTCCATCCGTCAAACCACAGGCCTATTCTAGAAGCTACGCAGACTCCGGGCAGCTCTGACATTCTCGATGGCTCACGCACAGCAACTGGCCACAAAGCAGTCAAAATAACTTCTCATTTTGTTGCAAATAAATTGGCTAATGTTTCATAGAAACTCAGCACTAAATTAAATGAACCTCAGTCCTCTTTCCAAAGGTCAGAAGTTACAGCATAATGGCTCCTTAGACAAATAAAACGCTGATGTTCTTGCGAACTGGATCTGTTGCACAAAGTGAGTCACGTCTTCACAGGCCTAGGAGAGTATTCTTCACAGAGGCCCCCTCTGCGCACCTCGGGTTGTAAATGGCAGGCACTGAAGCTCGCCGACAGAGACCCTGAACAGTGGCTTTTTGACCCAACCAGGTCTTGATTAAACGGACTGAACAGTCATGCACATCCGTTTAGACTGGACATCGGTCTGGGAAGTGCCTAAAACTGTAGAAAAGTCCAGGGCAAAGAACGTTTCCAGTGAAGAGGGAGCACAACTTGCTGCTCCGGCAGTGGTTTGGTGATAAGACCATCGTGGTTTTGACAAGTGAAAACTTTAAACTGACATTTGCTATCATTTCACCCAGTTTCTGATTATTTATTGCAAGACTGTCACTGAGCCAGGACGCTGGGAGCAGCTGAGCCCCATTCTCAGAGCTGTCAGTTCCACTGAATTGCTTTGCCAGCCCTTCAGTGCGTGCCCCTCAAATGTCTACTAACCAAAGATGTGTCCTATTTCCCAAGGATAAACTCAACCCCCAACATATGACAAAAGGAAAAAGACATGAATAATCTCTTCACTTATGCATACGACATTATAATATAACATCAATAATAGATTGGAAAACACAGTAGGCCAAGTAGGACTCAACTCCATCACAAGGGATCCAAGAAGCTGGTCCCTGAGCAGATCAAGAGCGGGCTCTGCTCATGCTGGTACCAAGGCCGTGTCTGCCCAGGGCCTTTTACTCCCCCACATTCTACCCCATCCCAGGGGCCGAAGGAAGTTGGAGGATGCGGCCTATCTCCTGGCTTTCCTGGAGGTTCTTGTTTCCGTCAACCACAGTCAAGACACAGACAACAGAGGGGTCAGGGAGCAAACTGCAGCCCTGGGACCAAGCCCACCACTCTCTAGACCTTCCACTCTCCATTGACAGGGGTCCAAGAGGAGAACAGAAACTCTGAGACCCTTATCCCCTTGTCCCTGTGGGATCAAGAAGGCAATCCCAACATTCATCTGTCTCCTGCCCTTTCAACCTCTTCAAGACTCTCCACCAATTTCTACTTTAAAGTCACTGAAACCAATCACATGAGACCCCTTCCTTGTATTTACGTCAGCTCAGCAAGCCCTAGACCACTAGGATGCTCTTACCCACAGGCCTCAAAGTCCTGCCCACCTGCTGCTGTCTGTCCTCAGCTCCTACCCAGCTCTGCAATCCTTTCTCTGTGCCCCCTAGAATTCATGGCCCACCGCTGGCAAAACTCCCTATATAGTCAGTTTCCAGAGCGCTCAGGGCAAAAAGAAGTTGTGTCGTCATTCTTTTCACCAGCCATTCCCTTTGCCTAGAATGCTCTGACCTCGAGATATCTGTGTGGCTAACTTCATCTTTCTAAGACTTTGCTCAAAGGAGGCCATCTCAACAAGGTCCACTCATTAGGACTGCAACCCCCCTGCTCCGGCAACCCTCACCCACAGGACTCTGCTCCACTTTCTTCTACAGCATATGTCGCTTTCTATCATGCTACATACTCATTTCTTATACGTACTATTTCCTCTCAGCAGAATGAGAATATATGCTCTTCAGGGAGGGACTTGGGGCTGTTTTATTCGATGACATACCTCAAGCTCCTTTAGAATAATACCTAGTACAAGGCAGACACACAGTAAAATTTATTAAAATCACCGAGGCAG